TCTGTGAAAATGATATTGTTTAAAAACTGAAATATATTTAAGGCAGCGATCGCCCATCGAAAGACATCAGAATTCCCACAGTCGACCCCGCGCGGTACGGATTTTCGTCATTTGCCGGGTGTTCCAGGATTCGACGCAAGTCTGCCTGACGCAAGTCTGTCGGACAATCTGTATCCACACAAAAAGGGAAAGATCCTATCGGTATACAAGTGGAATATTGATGTTGTGTACGATGCAGTAGGGAATAATGCAAGATGTCCCAAAATACTGCATTCAACACAGAATTCTCGTAGAAGTCGAATCGAATTCTGTAAACAAGGGATTTTCCAAGGGAAAATTGTTGAACTCACTTTTGTGATTGAATCATCAATTCAAGCCAAACATTAATCAAATAGGAACAATTTCACTCAAAACACAGGAGAACTATTGTCATGAAAGTGTTGTATAGTCGATTACAAATTTAGATTGCAGAGAGTTTGTTCTGAGCGCTAAAGGCACTCACGATAGAGCACATTTTGCTTTATTCTAACAATGTTCTTCTTCCGGTGGAGGAAAAGGACGTGTGACTGCTCAGAAAGTCAAGAGCAATTTGAGTTCAAACATCTATTTTCAATGAAAGATGAAAACGATGGAAAGGCAAGATCGTCGTACGAAGATGCCGAAGAAAGAGTGATGGAATGAAATGCTCAGAAGACATGGTGAATTGGAGCTCCAACTCAATATATATAACTGATGCATTAATCGTATTAAAACTATCTCAAGTTTCTAGATTGCCATTAACGGCTGTCATGGCCTTTTACCATATGGAGGTGAGTCCAGTAATGTTGAACCAGTGTGAGGCATCCAATCCCAGGGAAGTTGCTCTCATCGGATATTACATTGCACCCTTGCACATGTAGAAACGATCTTGCCACTCGGGGTGGCGTATTTTTATTTTGTTTTTTGAGGTTTTTGAAGGTGATGGTGGGCATGATTGTGTAGCAGGTGGGAAGCCAATTGTTCTTGCGCCCTAATGCCCTGGGCGTATCGATCCAAGTGAATGGAGAGCGTCCCCATGGCACAGTGTTCCAGAACAAGGTGGCGATCATCTACGTGACAGACTGCAGTTCCCTAGTCCGGTGTTCGACAGAGGGAGAGTGAAACATAGAGAGACAGAGAGATGGCTGAGACATCTGACTGTTTATGGACTAGCGCCGGTTGGCCGAGTCAATGTTGGGTTGGCGGGTCGCGCCAGGTCAAAGATCATCTGGCGTTGCCTGGTTAGAGAGCGACGGTGGATCGCTCTCTCACGGGAGACAAGGCGCAGCCAATGTTGACGATCTTCAAGTGATTTGTTGAGGACAGTTTCGCGGGAGTCCCAAAAGAGGTACTGGGAGCGTTGGGGGATATCCATCATGCCCATGGCAAACTGTTCGCGGATGCCGATGTCAATCTCCCGCTTGCAAGCCGTGTACCAGGAGCTGTCTTCAGAGTGGGCAAGCCGGTTGCGGTCTTTCCACATGTAGTGCCCGATCCTGATCAGTTGTTGGATCAGACGGGAGGCCCAAAGGTTGGCGGACTTCTTGGAGCCAATGTAGGAGAAGTGAAGGGCCTGCAGGTGTCTCCAGTTGGGGGACACTAGGCCTTCAAGGAGGCCCTGGGCCCCAAGCGTGGCTTGGGAAGAGATGGCCCTTTGGAAGAGGTGGGGATGGCGGGACCAGGCTCGGACGGTGGGGACGCCCAAGGAAGGCTGACGGACTGTCTTCAGGTATTCGAAGAGGAAGGCTTCGATCTCTGGGGCAGTCTGCTGGGTCTGCATCCAGGTCCGGAGGGCCAAATGGCGTTTTGACCATTCTGCAGCTGCAGTAGGAGCAGAACAGCGTGGGACATGGAGGTGATCTTCCACGGGGCAGGAGGAGCATCTGGGGCAGGAGCTCTTCGCCGAACGGTTCCAAATGGCCAAGAATTTGCCCACACCTGTCATACCGGAGATATGTTTAGGTGTCCAGCGTTGGAGATTTGCTGGGAGGGCCTTCATGGCGCGTGCAAGAGATAACCAATCGACCTCACGGATGGACTGCTCGGAGAGGCGGTCCTTGGAGGACCAATATGCTCGAAGGGCAGGAAGAGAGACCAGCTCCATGATGTGAGCCTGGTCCAGTTTGGAAGACTTAACACCGTCGATGAATAAAGACACAGGTTCATGGAAGAAGCGGGGGTTGGAGGCAGCCGAGCGGCCGGTAGACTCCAGCCGGCGGCGGTAGGATTGTGCTTTGGAGTCCACTTCCGCATTCCGCTGCTCCCACCAGTCCAGTTGGGAGAAAGGCCGGTGCTTGTCCAGGTGGCCTTTAACATGGCGCCAATGAACTTGGAGGGGAAGGTGGCGAAGCAAGGCCCGGATAGTGGAGGCCAGATCAAATTGGGCACCAGATGATGACAGGTGGACTTCAGAGAAGGACTTATCAAGAGCTATGAGCCCGTCGCAGGCCATCTCAACCGACGGTTGGCTGGCAAAGAGTTTCAGGTAGGCGACCTGGGACATCCAGTCCAACACCAGGAGAGATGCCATAAGGCCAATCAATTTGCTGCGCGTGGAGCTCTGGTCGTCAAATTTCCCAGGGGTTTGGCAGGTGATCCAGATGATATCCCTGCGGTCCTCAGTGAGAATTTGAGCGCAGGCTGTGCCCACTTTAGCTTTGTAAGAGCCGTCGCTCACAGCACGAAGGGTACCGGCGCGAAGGGCCTGAACCAGGCGGTCCTCACTACCTTCAATGGTAATGACCTCTGGAACCCAGCCGTGAGAACCTGATTCAGCCAGACTGCCGAAGTGATGCCAGAGGTCAAGGACGGAAGATGGGGGGCAGGTGCTGGTTTGGCTGGTAGGTGAGGGCCCGTAGAGTGGAGGAGGACCCGGCTCTTGTGGATCGGAGAACGGCTAGGGAAGACAGAGACCGAGGCGCGGACAGCGTCCACTGGTAGAGGTGGGAGATCAGGGTTGAAGCGACGAGGCAAGTAGAAGGTGCGCTGACGGCTGGTGGAG